CGGGGGTGCTCAGCCGGCCGGCGCCGCTCAGCCGGAACCGGGGCCGGTGCCATGGGGCCTGAGCCCAGCCAGGCCGGAGCCGCTGGGGCCAGGGCCGGAGCCGCTGGGGCCAGGGCCGCGCCTCCCCAGAGTTCTCCTCCTCGCGTCCCCCCAGCCCCAGCTTACCTGCTGCTGCCTCCTGCCTGCCCCTGCTTTTTTTCAGACTTCCCGCGAAGCTCTGATTCGCGGGAAGCAGGGGAGGGGGAGGAGCAGGGGGCGGAGCGTTCAGGGGAGGGGAGGAGGGGGAAGATAGCTGTGGGGCCAGACGGCGTGGTAAGGCTGCAGGGGCTGCAGGGGATGGGGGGAGCCGGGAAGGGGCTTTGGCTGCCGAGCGGCGCTTGGCCGCCGCTTTTCTGTCCATAAATAGCCAACCGGGGGGAAATCCTGGACATTTTAAGATTTTTAAAAATCCCCCCCGGACGGCTATTTATAGACCGAAAAGCCTGACATGTCCGGGGAAATCCAGACATATGGTAGCCCTACCGGAATGGCATAGCAGCACTTTTGCCGCACACGGCATGAGCTTGCACGCATGGTGTGTGTGTCAGGCTACGTGGGGGGGTCTTCTGGTAGTACTGACTTATGCACATTCAGGACTACACCTCGGCCTTTGGCATGAGCCCAGCTCTCTTGTTTGGCTTCTGGGGGGGCTGCTGCACATGCTGCCCGGCTCCAAGACTCCATTTCAGAGCAGGTCACATGTTCCCCGTTGAGCTCCCCGCTTGTTCCCTCCCACAGGATGCAGCACCCATCTCAAGGAACAGGCTTCCCTTGGGAGTGACTGGGGCTAGGGGAGAGAGACTGAGAATGGAGGGGCAGGGCCAAGGGGCTGTGACTGGTGTCCTGGGGGCCCTAAGGGGCCGTGACTGACACTGAACAGGGAGAAGGGGCAGCAAGAGGCCATGACTGGTGCTGGGTAGGAAGGTGGGGGGCACAGGTTGGCGCTGGGTCAGGCGGGGAGCTGTGACCACACCATGGGAGATGGAGGAGCCTGACTGACACCTCAGGGGCGAGCACCAGAGCAGCCAGGAGAGCGAATTGCCGCCTTGTGAACAAGGCTGTCCCACACTCAGCGTCCTCACCCAGCGAGCCGAGGGGGAGGGACAAGGAACGGAGCGCACTGCTCAAACAAGAGCCGCTGACCTGGCAACGGACTTCACTTCCCCACTGAACACTTCCAACAGGGAAGGGCAGGAAGGAAATGCTGACCCCAAGCAGGGCTGGGCCCAGGCTGCAGGATTCGTCCCCCTCCCTGACCCCGGCAGTGGACCCTGCGCCGGACCTTGCAGGCTTTGGGAGCTCCATTCGAAGCGCATTTCTTGCTGTTACACTGAGCACGAGCTCCAATGGCTTTGGGCACTTCCTGTGTCACTGGGGCCTGCGGGAGCTCCTGGCTCTCACGGGACCTCGAGGAACCCTTTCGGCCTCCCGGCTTCTCTCACCTGATCCATATTTTCCCGCCGTTCAGCGTGTAGAATTTCCCACACTCGCTGAGCTCGGCGACGGTTTTAATAGATGCCGCGTCTGAGCCACTAGATGGCTCCGTCAGGCAGAAGGCGGCCATGGTCTCTCCTGCAGAAGGGAGCAAAACGGTCACCGATGGCCCAGCCTTTAACAGCACAGAGAGCACAAAACAACCCACATGCAGCCAGGCTCAGCAGCGGGCCCAGGACCCCCACTGCCCTGAGGGCTCCCCCCTATGCAGCAGGGAGTGAGTCCGTGGCAGGCGGGCACATAGGAAGGGATGAGGATGGGGTACATCCATGTGCACCCCAGTGCGACCAGCTGGCCGTATGTAAACGGACAGCTACTGAAAACTGCACTTTTCTGCAACTCAACTGGTGCTAGCAGGCGGCTGCCTTGCCTTGGGCATCCCGCAGATCCCCTGCTGGCACAGCGACATGCCAGCCTGCAGTGTGAGCTCGAAGGCTGTGCTCTGGGGGGGGCTTGAGGGCTCCTGCCCTGAACTGGCAGAGCAGTGCAGAGAAGCTTGCACAGAGCTCGCCTGTGCTACACCTAGCTCTCCCCACTGCGGTCAGCCGCCCGCTGTCACCACCCCTCCCCACAGCCTGCAAGCAGAGTGCTGAAAGCCCGGCTCAGAGACCTGCAGAAGCCCGGAGGGTGGGTAAAGATCTACATTATACCTTGCATAGGGCACAACGGCAAGAAGAAAACAGGCCCTGTTCCCTACCAGATGCTAGCTTGGGCAGGTATTTCTCCTTCTGACTCTGGGTCCCAAAGAGCAGGATTCCCTTAAAGCCGATTGACTGGTGAGCACCGAGGCTTATGCCCACACCAAGGTCATGCACTCCAACCACCTCCACAACCCGAGCATACTGAAGGGAAAGCAAAAGAGAAGTGGTGGGGATGGGGATTAGGTTGGAACCGCTGCCCAGTTTGACCTTCAGATGCAACAGCTTCTGGGGACTAGCAAACACTCCACATCAACACCAATATTAGCACTGCTCCCCATCTGCTCCTCCTAATCACCCTGCCATGGCCCAGTGCAGGACACTGAGGGCACAGACCAATCATCAGGAGCCTTCAGACACTCTCAGGCCCCATTCAGCTGTCTGATCCCTGCACCGCACTGTCTGGCTCACAACAGCAGAGGGGAGGAGGTGGGGGAAGGTTTGGGTAGAACTTTTAAAAAGAGGGAAAAGAAAACCCACATCTAGCGAGATATGCACATTGGAGATGTTACTGATACATTATCTGTCTACCACTGTGTCTGTCTTGTCTATTTAGGGACTGCCTCTGACTGTTTGGCTGAGCAGCACCCAGCCACCAGAATCGATGGTAATGAATATTTATTGATGGAATTACTAGAAAGCAAGACTCAGGGAAGTGACTAGACTACTGTCATATAGCAAGAGGATACCAGGCCTGGGAACAGAACCTGGTTTTCCTCATTCCCACGCTGGTCCCCTATCCCACACTGCCTCACCTCTGAACTATCTAGGTGATACTTTCACACTCCCTAGCTACTATAATGGGCACAGGATAAAAACCTAGCTGGAGGGATGGGTGGAGCTCAGCATGGCAGCGGGAGGCTTTCCAGTGACTGTTGGTCTACTGCCTGTAGGAACAGCCCTGGTCTGGGTGGGGCTGACAGGTGACATGGCTTCAGAATTCAGATCTTCCAGAGGGTTAGGCCGGGTGGGTACAAACTGTCCAACTATATTTTCTGTGCTGTTACAATTAAACTCTGGCAGCAGTAAAGCTTGGACGCTGCATAGGGAGGTGAAGCTTGTCCGCACACACTGACACATAACTGTATGTGGCTCATTGGTGACTGACAGCACGCAGCAAGCTGGATTCATAAGCCTGATGCACAGGGGCCCAGGAATAGTACATCACTCACTTCAGCATATGGGCACTTCTCAGACTGAGCACCGCCACGCTCCCTAGGCAGGGCTTAATTTGGAATGAAACAGGTGCCGGAGCTCCAGCAATTGTTTTACTTTCAGAACTGATGAAGCAAGCCCACAGGTGCCAGGGCCCTGAACCGCCATGCCTGGCGCACATGAAGCACTGTCCCTTCGCCTCTGTATCACAGCCACGCTCTTCTCTGCTCCCAACCTCTTCCAGGAAGTGACTACCATGTTACAACGGGGTAGGAGCCGCGGGCCAGCGAGGAGAGAACGGGCCCAGCTGACCTGGCATGTCAGGACAGCTCTCACGCTCCAAGTCAAACCCAGGGGATGCTGGATCTGAATTCCATGCCTAGCCCCACCCATCACAGGCCTAAGCCAGACACCCGGCTCCAAACCCTCGACCTGGCCCCTACTGTCCCCTCAGGCCTGCGCCCCCCAAGGCTCGGTCTTACCTGGGTGTTCGTCAGCCCAATTCCCCCCAGCTCCTCGGGCACCTGCAGCCCAAAGGCTCCCATCTCCTTCAGCCCTGCCAGGGTGGCCGTCTCAATGCTCTCCAGCTTCTCGTTCTCCACAGGATCATTACCCTCCTTCAAATAATGAAAGGGAACGAGTGAAAGGCAGGTGCAGCGCCCAGGCGAACACTGCGGGCTGCGTGGGGCAGGGTCCGAAGGGCTGGGAAAGGCTACGTTTATGCATTGCCTACCTCCCTGGCACCAAGGAGCTGCTGGATCCTAGAGCAGGCCAGCTGGGCGCTGGTGTGTTAGTGTCCTGCTGTTGCTGTGCGAGTGAGCCCGATGGTCAGTGTATGTGTGTGTGGGGGCGCCTCGGAGTGGGCGATCTATGCCCTGATTTCCCTTCCCCTCTGCCCCCACCCCACACTCCCTTCCTCCCCCCAAGCCTGTCCTCTGTCTCTGGGGAGAGCCAGGCCACGCAGAGCCACCCTGTCCTTCAAATATCCCTGGAGAAAGACCTCCCACATGAGCTTCTTCACTGCCAACACCTGACCGGCTAACCCACGCCTCGGTCTGACAGACGTGGTGCTTTGTATGAGACACGGCATTAGAGGCACTCGGGAAATCACAATCAGGAGAAGAACGTGGATGTGCACATGCGCATCTGCATCCTCCAGGTTTCAGAAAGAGGGTGGATTCCCCAGGAGAAGTAGTTTTTTACATGGGCCATCCCATGTCACTGTCTGAGGAAGACAAAGTCCTTTTCTTTTGTTTACAACGCACACTTCAGGCTAATCCGTAATCAAACAGGCAGCAGACTGCCACTGACCTCAAAGAAGCGGGTGCAGGGATCTACCAGGGCTTGCAGAGACTGCGTCTGCTCCATTGAGAGCACTAAAGAGGGACAAAGATGCAGCTGGATTAGCAGGATGTGTCTAACCCTCATCACTTTATTACATGGTTTGACACCAACGCCCTTAGGTGAGGAGGCGCCTTCTAAGACTGGATGTTTGTCTAAGAGATCTGCTGTAGGGAATTCTTTCAGGGAAGTTCTGTGGCTGTGTTCTGCAGGAACATAGAGCCGTGTTGTTCAGCCTTTTTGACACCAGGGACCAGCTTGCTTACAGGGAGATCTCAGGGACTGGCGTCGGTCCACGGACCGGTCGTTGAGAAACACTGGACTAGAGGATCGTAGTGGCTTTAGAATCTATTAATCTACTTGTAGGGGAAGAACTGGCTCAGCGGAATGGCAACAGGCACTGGCTAGTGCTTCTCTCCGCTAGGCTGCTGGTTCAAATCCTGTCCCAGCGCACAGGCCTTTGAATCAGCTCAGTCTACTTCCAGTTGGACCAGTATCCACACCACAGACGTCACCAGCGTATTTGGCCCCCTAGTCGGCAGACTGAGCCGAGAGCTCCATGGAAACTGAACGAGCCTCTCGTCGGGGGCGGGAGGAGCACACGACCTGCGTTCTGTGACTTTGGTGGTTTTACTCTACAACGCCATTAAGCCAGCATATGTCACCATCAGCAATAAATCTGTAAGGAAAATTTAAATAAAAGCATCCTACCTGAGGGGAAAGGAAAAACATTGTCAGGTACAAACTGCCCGTTGAACAGGTTCATGACAAAGGATGTGGATTCCTGGAGGAGACAGACGATAACAAGAACATTTACACAAATGAGCCCTGCAGAGCAGAGTGGTACTAGGAGATGGAAGTTCATGGTCTGCTTTCTGCACAGCTCAGAGGAGGGGAGTCCAGGAGGAGAACCGCTCCTGGGCTGACTGCAGAACCATGGCACCCTGCAGGACATGCTGAGAAGCACTGTGAAAATGTACGTAAGTGAAGAGGGTATTTTTGCCTTTGCGGAGATCTCTGGACTGTGGTGCACCCAACTCCCAGAGAGAGGTTCCATCTCTTCTCAAAGGCTCATAGCTCTCAAGATCACGGACAGCTGTTCTGATGATGTCATGCTTCCACCTCGTGTTTCATTGGCTGAGCATATTGTCACTCTGCAGTATAGCCTGTTGGGAGAATTGCCTGCGCGGGCTGCCAAGACCCCCCTTTATTGTCATTGTGCAGCAGACTTGGATGCTGTTAAGAATTGAGCTGCTTTTCAGATTTTCCTCCCAGTTCTTATTTGCACACTTGCCTCAAACACAACACGAGTCTCAGAGGTAAGGCCTCCAAGCTTGTGTTTTTGGCACCATTACATTATGCCATTATGTTACATAATGGCATAAAGGCATCCCTTTATTTTCTTCTTTGGTGTGGTTTTTGTTTGTTTGTTTGTTTTTAAATATGCTAATGATATTCACTGCCTCTGAGGTGGAGCAGATCTGATTGCCACACCCAGCTGAAGTCAATGGGAGCTGAGGGAGCTCAGAATCAGGCTCACAGTATCTATCAGAGTACGGCGGAGTCCCCCCTGGGGACAGCGGCGGTCCCAACATCAGACATATTTAACACAGTCTGGGACAAAGCACAGACCTGCAGCCACTTCCCAAGGCTTTCAAAGCAAAATTATACAAGCACCGTGACTTACCTTGTTCGCTTGACTTGAGTATCTCCCTTTTTGATGTGTTATATAGTATGGAGGTGATGTCAGCCTGGGGAAAGAACAAAGCTGCTGTGACATCATGCAAGTGCAATTTTCACTATCAGTCACAAGCATTTACTTTTGGGTGACTGGCAGCAGTGGAAGGCACGTGTCTACGGTTTGGTGGTCACTGCACAGCAGCTTTAAAGGGAGCCTGAGAGACCACCTGGAAAACTGTAAACGGAACCTGCTTCCATGACATCTCCAATCTCCATCTTTACTACCAGGGATTTTGCACAAACGCAGGATCTTCGGTTCTTTCGCCAGCTGGTACTTTATTGGGGAAAACAGGCAGATGGGAGTTTATTTATTAAGAGTAATTAATTACTCAGGCTCCCCAAACAGATATGGATCTTGTGAACGAGCACTGGAGTTGGCTTTTTAGGGTATGTCTTCACTGCCAAAAAAAAAAAAGGGTCGGGGGGGGGAAGCTGTTCTTAACTCAGGTTAGGTAACCCAGGGTAAAACAGCAGTGAAGGCACAGCAATTTGGCTTTTACCTTGGGTTAGCCACTCGAGTTAAAGCCGATAGGGGAGCCTGGGGTTGACTTGACCAGAGTTGCCATGTCTTCACTGCTATGTTAACTCAGGTTAGCTTGCTGGATTAAGCACACGCTGTTTTTGGAGGGGTGGGGGTGGGGGGCGCAATGAAAACATACCTCTAGAATCTAACTCCCTCTCTCTTGCTGCATAGGTATTATGGTGCTGGGCACACTAATACTACTTAGGTATTTGAAGTGTCAGTCTCTCCACAGCTAATGCTAGAAACAGTTTCCATAAAGCCCTCCTTTAACTTTGTCTTACAAGATAAGTTTGACCTGAGATCTGCCAGATACAGTCCGAAGCCAAAGGAGAATCTTTCTACACACCTTGAAGAAAGCTTGTCAACCTGTTTCTGAGTTACAGGGCTTCAAAGTGCCCTGAGGTGAAGCTCTGACGTCTCTAATGTTTTTTGTTCTTAAATCAAACACAGCTGGTTTGGCCCCTGGGAACTTGCTGTAGAGTTACAGCTCCTTGGAGTGCGGCACTCGCCAGCTTTGAAGAACATTTAGCAAACTTAATGATGATTATTTTTGTGCATAGTTTTAAGTCCAATCCTGCTCCCACTGATTTCAACGGAAGTTATGGGCACGTGTGTTTCTTTGTCCTTTATAAGAATAACAAATCAGTTTGTTCTATGTTGTGAACGATGGATCAGTCTGCTGCTCCCTCTGCTTCTGTAAACAATGGGTCAGCCTGCTGTCCCCTTCTCCCCCCCCCCGCAAACAATGGGTCAGCCTGCTCTCTCCCCCCCCCCGCAAACAATGGGTCAGCCTGCTTTCTCCCCTCCCCCCCGCAAACAATGGGTCAGCCTGCTTTCTCCC